ATGTCTTGTGCATTCGCACCAGGGCCCATCTGACTCAATATGGCTAAGTTGGAGTGTGTGAAGTCAACTATCTGGGACTACGCCGCTTGGGGGCGACGGCTCGGATACCCGAGGTATAGCCCAAATTTCGTGCTCGTCAAAAGCAGTTGGCACGATAAATCCCTAAGACGAGTAGGAATTAATACGCCTGGCAGGACGGAATTCCGCGACCCTGAGCAGGCGCTGCGTAGCGCCTTTCAAGGAAGGTGCCTTTATAAGAACCGTATCTACAACATACCGACCCGAACGCCCACCGCGCCCGCCCGCCCACAAATGGACGACCGTACCTGATGCTCGTATTGCTTCATTTGCTAAGTAAAATATGAAGCGAAGGGATTGGTATGAAGCGGCTGCGGTGCTGCATGGATATATGAGTACATATGTGCAGCCGTACCTACCGTGGCGGTTATTGGCAAGATGCCTACGGGAAACTCGTCCGAAATTGTTTCTTGAGTCATTACGAGCGAAGGCTTTTCATGGCAGGACCGCTTCACTTCGTTTTTTCGCCATTTTCCCACTATATGGCGCCTAACAGGCTGAACTATGCTGACATTACCTGCTGCAAACCTAAGGGTACAGCTGCTTTCCTAAGGTCTAATAACTCTCGAGCACCGTGGGGGAAAAGCCGCAGCGTCGGGAACATGTAACGATCAACGAAGACTTCCGCAGTCGCCTCACGTCCGTCTTATCAATTGATGCGCTTATCCATCAACAAGAAATAGTGTTCCGTTCAGCTATTAAGATTATCCTTCTGATAAATTCCCTTTTATCGTACTAGAATGTTCGTCGTCTAATGTGATAGAGCCCAAGCCGATCGAATTTGAGCCGATACAGGTTTCCCTCAGGATTCTGAGGATCAGATTACACTAGTCGTTTTTGTCCAGTTCCACCCAACCCATACTAGTTGAGCAGACTAGTTCACCTTTGGCTTCAGGCTCGAAATGGAAATTAAGAATTTGATTTAGTTAATTTTGAAATGGAGGCACTATTCACCCTTTACTGCCCCAATCTTCCAAAAACAGGCCAGTTTTTGACCGACTTTTTTCTGCGTTGGCAGAATTGGCTAAAAATTTGTCCTGGGGTAGTTTGACCTTCTGAACATGAATATCACATCCGCGCGGCACAAGCCTCCCTGGCGCCCGCGCCACAGGCGCCGGCGCCAAAATACTTAAATCACCAAATTCGCTGAAAACTTGTTCCCAGGGGTAGTCTGACCTCCTAAACACGAATATCACATCCGCTTGGCCCAAACCTCCTGGCGTCCAAGCTACAGGCGCCGGCGCCAAAATATTCCAAATTGCCGGCGCCTGTGGCGCGAGCGCCAGGAAGTTTCGGGCCAAGCGAACGTGATATTCGTATTTAGGAGGTCAAACTGCCCCCGGAGACAACACTTACCAAATCTGTCCACGGAGAAAAAAGTCGGTCAATAACTGGCTCAATTCCGGATGGTTGGAGCAGTAAAATAGTGCTGAAATGGATTACTCGTTTTCATATCCATCTTGAATGGTGCTGATAAGGATCTCAATTTTGTTCGCAGACTTCAAAAAAGTTGAAACACCTTGCGGCGAAGACTTCTGCCCTGAACGCCGACATGAAGTCTTAACCCTTGGATGAAGCGATATCACGAAAGCATAATTGCGTGATGAGCTCAGAAAGGCTTTATCTTTGTGTACTACGCTCAGGCGATTAGTGAGGTGTGTGTACTTCGAGAGAGCTGTTCACTAAGGTGCAGCCGAGGCTGACAACGAGAATTCTTCGAGCGCTCTTCCTTGCTGAGTGTAGTACCACTGCAGCACTTTCATTGAATGCAGATTTTAGGCAGCGTTCAGACTTCGCGACGGCAGCGCTTCGGTCGCGCGTTCGACGCGATCGATGCAGTCGAAAGCATGCGCATCGATCGCGCCGAACGCGCGACCGAAGCGCTGCCGTCGCGAAGTCTGAACGCTGCCTTACGACTGTCTTGTCACATACCCAAGAAAGGCGGGACTGCGGCTGTGCACGTGTCACGAATTCGCGACTTGGAGTCGTATGCGTGTCTGTCTGTAGGGAGGATCAGGTTGTATGTACAGGTGTCAGTAATGTATAGAGCGGTGGCAAACTTAGTGGAACACTGCCCTAGCTTTTGTGCATCGCCGTGGAGCGCGGTATCTCTATCCAGTCTGCAATGCAAGACAATGCAAATGGAACTATAATATACGCACAAGTTACCTTTCTTTGAATACGACGATGAACTCAACACTTAAACTCAACAACACTCAACAGTGAACTGGAAGAGTTTGCCAAGCGATACTTGACCGTGAGCTAGGTTTACTTCCACTATACAGGGGAGGGGGTCAAAAAAGACACTTTGGTCACATATCAGCAAAGTTTTCGCAGCCCAGACAGAGGACGTGGATACGAGTACCAGGGCGGAAGATACCCAAGATGTTCCTCGATAAGCAGGAGCTGGCTCTCGCCCATCACCTTCATGTACACCAAAATATGAAGTCATCTCCAGTCGCAGCCTGACTGGAGAAGGCCTATGGAATTCACGTCACCTCCAAACAGCTGCGAAACTTCTTGTATGGAGTCACCCATGGACAGCTACCTGGGGACCAGCACTCTTGATCTGGAAGACCTCCAACATCGAGCAGCTCCGACAACGTCGCTACGGTCCAGGATATCATCTTCACCGCAGTCGCCAAGGCGCGGGTTGATGGTATGGACCGGAAGTTTCCTGGAATGGGAAGACCGATATTTTCTTCGTGGACCCCGGACTGAAGGTGAACGCTGACGGTTACATCGACCAACTCGAGGAGAATATCCTGCCTTCATGTCGTCGCCCGTACCATCTTGGAAACTTCGTACTGCTACAGGATTGGGTGCCACCACATGGAATCGAAGGGCGTTGGAAAAACTCTCGCCTACTTGGAATGGAAGGGCGTTGAGTACCTGAAGAAGACGGAATATCTAAGTGTGTCACCTGACCTAAACCCCCTCAATTACTTCGGGCGGAGCTCAACAGGGTGGTCTACAGTGGCGGAGAAATCAACGATCTCGCTGAACTCAGGTACCGAATCACGGTCGCGTGGCAGAATCTCTCGATGGCGCTCGTCCAGAAGGCTGTTGCGGGGTATCATGACAGTGTACAATATGCTGTTGAATATGGTGTGGAAATGTCCAATCAGAACTGAATAAAGTGTAACTTATATCGCGTCGAAAGTCGAGAAAGGAAAGTGTCTTTCCCCACCCCTCTTAGTTGCTCTCCAATATTGCCTCAGTGCAGAAGAAGATGTAATGTATCTGCAGTACCGTTCGTGGGCCATGAACCCCATCTCGGCCAAACAAGTCTTCCATCTTTCCGGGAACATCACTTGGTACCGGAATGAGGAAGGAAGACTAAATCTTCGCCGCCATGGATCAGTCTCTCTTTGGGATGCGATACACACCTTTTGTTCAGAACCCGCACACACCATTCTTTCGGTAGGAATCCTCATACATTCTTCTTTCGCTCAGAATCTTATGGTCAGGGGCTTACTGTGCGCGATATGGTTTACAAAATGACTTGCTGATGTCAGCTAGAGGAGACCAGACGAATCTGGTACCAGTTCCCCCTCTACTACCAATCCCACGCGAGGAATCGCGGTCCTTGCAGCATCCATTGAAGATGTTCGCTCGGGAGGTGCTTGCTTACTAATCTCTGGGCTTAGGGCAGAACTCTTTCAAGCCCTACATTTGTACTTTCTCTCCTCAATATTCTTCCATGTCCTTTGAAGAACGCCTTTGAACCGCTCCTTCTGATGGAGAGATACCAGCGCATTCTCACTTTCAGTTACTTGCAGAGTAATAAGAAAAAAAGGATATCCCTCAAAAACCCAAATCGCATGTTGCATATATGTATGTGGTAGTTCACACTCATTGAGTTCAAAACCCAGTGAAACGTTGTTTCTGAACTCAGTATCGCTATGAAATTGTGTGTGTAGGAGCTGGATACAGTAATGCTGCTTGCAAACATTAGCGACGTGTGACATGGCCTGGACTCTTCGTCTTTCCACCAATGATGCCATCCTGAGCCCACTAGTATTGGTTGAAAAAGCTCCCTGGCTGCACTCCAGTCCATGCCCTATTGTTTGCAGAAATCATGACACCCTAGCGAGGATATGACATGTCTACTCCCCTGCACCCTCTCATAGAGGGAACATGCCTGTTTTAGCATGACTTGACCAACGTCAGAGCACATTACCCTCCAACTTAGGCAGTAAGGATGACCTCGCTGGGAAGCGCTAACTCCCGAGGTATGAAACCCGTGCACGTTCTTTCATTGTTTTCAAGAAATTTCCGCTTTGATAGACTGAAGAGTTTTTGCCTTTTTGCAGATGGAAAGCCTATGTTCCACTCGACAGTAACTCCGAAAACAGAAGAGATTATCAAAGAGTTGAACGAAATCCTACTCGAAGACAACAACGACGACGACGACTCAGAATTGAAGTCGAATAAATTTTGAGTAATTCTGTCCAGTATAAATATGCGTAATGATTCATTGAATCGAAAATGATAAGTGATAAGCAGAAACCCGTCTGTGTTCTTTGGAAAAAAAACAGAGTAACAGAAAAAAATCATAACAACAGGAGATCACATGAGAGTGAGAGAGCGCTCCACAACATATAGACACTATATCCACACGATGGGGAGGGCGTAGCTCGTGCTTCATTTGAACATGGCGTCGAAGGAAATACTCCTCCGCAATCATGGCCATCTTCACGACTAGATGAAGTGCGGGCACGCCCTCTCCATCTCTGAGATATAGCGTGTAGATCCAGGTGACCGTCGGAGTTACAGCCCATAACAGTCAGAATCTCGTCAGGCCAACAGCGAGCTCGAGATACATCCACTGGGGGATGATCCTCTTCCTTCTTGTTCGTCCTGAAGGAGCACCTCTGAGAGGGTCGTCGCTGAATCAACTGGAAACCGTAGCGGTCTCATTAATCGGTCGTGGAATGGCTCTCTTTCGTCTGGGTAGCGACTTGTTCAGCATGGGATCGGCCGGGAACACCGCGTATCCTTTCCGAGTCCTGTAAAAAAAGGCTCCGATTAGTCTTCTTAAAGCTCATCAGGTATGCGTCTAGCAGCTGGAACCGGTGTTGTTTTCCGATGGATTACTAATGGACAATACGTAATCGACTATCGACTTTGTAGCCCAAAACCAGCCCCAGATTGTGAAAGTGAAAGTTAGTCTCATCAGGAGGTATGACAACCCTATTTGCTTAGAGGCCAATTATTGAGAGTCAACCCCCCCCACTAGCCCGACTGTAGAGTCGCTTTTTTATGGACGCTGTCAGTAGAAAAAACTAACCTCTGATCGTGAGGTATCCGTGGAGGAGATGTCTTCGGTAATGAATGGTGTACGAGCCAAGGCAAGGCTCTTTTGCAGGGGTCGTGGGCTGGCTTCCCCGAGAAGTGTGGGAATTTGTGAACTAGGAAGGCGCGGTTTCGCTGGTATACGTGGAGGAATCCGTGAGGGTTTAGGTAAGGAAGTTTTAGGTAGCGGAGGCGGTTGTGACGATGGCTGATGCAATTGCGTGGGAGGCGATGACCGTGACTCGAAACCTGAAAATGTTTGCAATCATTTCACCTTCCCATTGTATCGTGCGTCACATGAATCATACCGTTAACGATGCTGCGCACGCTGCTGATGCGTTCCTTGCCCGTGTGCTCCTTCCACGGTTGTTCAGCTTCGTTGTGGTGGTCTTCCTCATCATCTCGACTCGAGTCATCCGAGTCTGAGCGCGATTCTCGTCCACTATCAACCGATTTGTCGCTCTTCGGTGATTCCTGCTGATTGTTCAGCTCAGTTTTTTCTGCTTTGGTCTCTGATATCACTGCATATCGACTCTGAAAATGAAATCGCAGCTCTCGCGCCGTCAGAAGCGGACACTAGACTGCCCATTACCTCTTCATGATCCTCGGGAATCGTGATGAGCATCGGGACGAATCGTCGCATTCGTATCCGTTCTCTCGCCACTTCGATCACCCGTCGGAGATCTGTGAGGAATTGTTCGGCCACCGGTGGCGGGTTGGCCATCATCGCATCATCCAGATACTCTACAAATCACCCTTCCAATCGCTACATTCACGGTTCAAGCGTACTGTGCACTCACCTGCACTAAAATACAGCCGCCGTTTGGGAATTCGTTCCATGAGCGTTCTGAATTCGCATGGCCCCATCTCATTATTTGCAGGAGCTGCCTGAGGAGCTGCTATCTGTAACATCTCACCCTATAGGTGGCACTCTCCAGCAGCAGCAGTCCTATAGCTTACTTTTTGTGCCTCATGCTGTTGCTGCAGATGGAAGAGGAACTGCATTTGTATGTCAGAGATTAATTGCCGCTTTTTGATCCGCCAACACAAGTGCCAGACAACGAACGATCCTGCGATGGAGAGTGCAAGCAGGAAGGCCAAAATAAGAATGAACAGCAGCTCAGCTCTTGAACTTGTCGAGGGGAGCAGGTAAGGGTTTGCACCTGAAATAGCGTAATTGTCTCATATGGAGGACTTTGAGTGCTTGAAAACTAACCAGATACGCCGGCAACTCTGAAGGACAGACAGTGTTCGTCTGGGGCGAAACCGGTGCAGGACAGCTTCAGTTGGACAACAGATCCCGTCAGAATGGCCACGTCTGACTCTGATCCTCGGAACTGAAACAGAGGAATGAATCGCTGGCACTGATCAGATTGAAGGTTGAGCTCAGTAACGAGCTCGCGAGACTGGCGAGATAGTGTCCCACGAATCATTCATGAACACAAGAACTATTTGCGAAGGCATGGGTCTAATGAGAGGGGAGGGGGCTACACAATCTTGAGCTGCTCTCCTATGGAATGGAAAAGGAAGTTTCGCTTCGCATGAGGAGAGCTGGCAATTTCGACGTGGATCGAAGTGGTGAGAAGTCTTTGGAATGGAGAATCCCAAGAGTGGAGGTGGGGCTTCTCTCTGATACTCACCATTACCACTGGACGTTGGTGAGCAGTAGCAATATCGAAGAGAGTACGTCGATTGGCAGCTCTCCATCGATGATCCATATTGTCGAAGAACACCGCGCTGACTGCACATTCAACCGTTCCCATAGAAGAGACAGGGATTCCGCCATCTGAAAAAGGTCTATCAGTTCTTGAAAAACTTTTGGTCTTGTGGTCGACTGAAGAGGAGGGTGATTCGCTCTATTTCCTCCTGCCACTGCGACCACTGGAATCACTAAGCGATCGCTCCGGCCACGTGATCAGAAATGGGCACCTGTGCTTCATAGAACAGGCCACCATCAATGATAATGCGCATTCACGTCCAGCACCCTTTCAACGACCCATCAAAAAGAACCGAACGTACCTGCCCATCGAATCGGAACTTTAGGGTGAAGAACACCGTTCCTAGCAGGCAATGAGAGCACAGGAATGAGTCGTTCAGTGTCGATCGAAGAGTTGAAAGCAAGGTTATGGCGGCATTCGTCTGAAAGCATTGTCTATAGATTCCATCGCAAGAGAAAAAAAAGGTTGTGGAATGCGGTCTGCGTGCGGGCCAGTTTTCCGGGTGAAAAAATAGCTTGAAGCTTCCTTCCCAACCAGAATAAGTCTCATATAGAAAAAATACGTAGTTTCTGCATCGGTGCTCAAAATCGTTCGACCTTCTGCCAGCCCCTATCGTACCAGTTCGACGATAAGAACAACACATTTCAGAGTCAAGGCCATCTACAGCGATAAGTACAGATGGCTACTGGGGCACAAAGTACTTTGAGTTTACACAAAGTGATAATGTTTAAGAGAGAAGTGCTTTGAAACTGCTGTCTCAGAAAAAGATCTTAGCTCCCTTTGAATTGTCCCTTGGCCCGGAATTGGTGGAAAGTTTCGGATCATATCTAGAATTGTTGGTCTGGTAGGATGACTGATGTAATCGCTAAGTTCTCACGAATGCCCGCTCGACTGGACGCGCGGTAAATCTCGCTTCGAATCTGTGTCGTATGCAATAAACAGACGATTCCTACGGATTCGATTCCTCGTGAACAAGCGAAAGTTTATCTGTGATTCAATGAATCCCGGGAAGACTCTTGGTATAACCTACCTTAGAGCGTACCCTATTAGGAGACGAAAAAAAGCGAATTTAGAGCTGAAAACCCCGAGGATGAAAGAGGAGCTAGTGCGTGTGAAAATTAGGAAATGGGCTGTAACACATAAATGGATATGCCGGTCGAAATAATGGTCGCTTTTTCTGACGGGCCATAAATGTGCCTCCAAGTGCGGCTTATATAGGTCTTTCAAAAGAAATGGCTCCATAACGATGGAAAAAATCGGCTCGAAAATGTTTCTCCCGCGGATATGCCACATTGAAAATGTCAAGGGTTTAGCTGTTCCAT